CTTTTGGAGGTTGGTTAATCTTAGGGGCCTTAACAACCGGAACACGGTGCCGCAAATTACATATCCTTTATAGGGATGTTCTTCAGGCCTCTAGCTTGTCTACGACTCCAGGATGTGACGTACAGCGAATGATTAGCCAATGACTCAAGTTGTCAGTCACCCAGACACTCCCAAAGCTCTTACCCCGAACCGAAACCATTAAATCATCTGTCTTTTCACCCGTTTCGGAAGACCTCAACCAAACCCTAAACCCTGCAGAGTCGTCTAGGAACCCTAAACCCTGAACCCTTGAAGCAAGGGCCGCTGTCTGGTTCGTGGCAGTCCGGAGGTGGGCACGTGACGAAGCTGACCAAGGAGAGCGCGAGCAGAACGAACAGTGGTCCGATGACCTGCCATTCGGTCTAGGGTTTGGGGTGTAGCGTTTTTAAGGTTTATATCGTATTTTGGGGCTTATATGGGGTTTAGGGTTTGTGGGGGTTGGGGTGCAGGGTTAAGGGCTTCAGGGTTCCAGAAGCCCCAGATCATGCGGCGATCTGTTACAGCAGCATGCCTTTGGTTCAGGAGCTTTGGAGGCTTTTGCAGCAGTTGGCGGTGTATATTCTTGTAGGGTTTTCAAGGGTTCCTATGTGGTTCTTGGCATCGGGGAGGGGGGCCTAAGGTCTACGGTCTGAGTAGAGTTTTCGGCGGCTGCTCCGAAGGAAACAGGGTTTAGGGTTTAGGGGTTTAGGGGTCTCGGGTTTAGGGTGCAGGCTACAGGCGCAGGCAAAACCTGTTCAGCCACAGGTGTCTCGCTGTTTGGCCGGGCGGCACGCAGAGCCACGTCCACGCAGTCCAGGACGAAGTTGCAGCATTGGCCACAACAGCCTCAGCTTGAAATCCGACAGCTTTCAATCCCATAGCATAGAAGGGCAACGAGGACTAAACCTTGAACCCTCTGAGAAAGCGGCGCAAACATTGCCTCGCCAATCTCCGCGGGCCGATGCACAGAAATCCTGGCTCCTGTGTCGCACCTGCAGGCAAAGCAACTCTCTCTGGGGTTGGGATTTCAGGCATCGTGGTGTAGGGGTTGTACGGCTTTTCTGGCTTGGCGCCAACAGAGGTTGGGGTTTAGAAGGTTCCAAGTCATCCAGAATGGTTTTTGTCTTCTAAGCACAACAAGGAATTTGAAAGGCAATCCCCACACGCAAATCCCTGGCGAAGAAACCCAAATCCAGACAACAACGATCGGTAGAGCCCCTCTACAAACCGCGTCAAACACTGTAAAGCCCTACGAAACTCCAAGAAGCCCAATTCAAGCCTTAAGAAAGCCCTATCAGTCCTATCAGAGACCTAAAAAAAAACCCTATTACAGCCCTATACAACCCTAGGCCCTAAACCCGATTCAACTAAACAAAAAGACAGAGCCCTAAAAGCCTAGACTCTCAACCCTAAACCCCCTGATCCGTTATGAAACCCCCTAGATGCAGAGAAAAAGGGCCCCTAAGAGGTTCCGTGGGCGGCCGAGGCTCCTCCGAGGCCCATTCTGCCATGCCAGGCTCGGGTTGCCACGTCGTCGGTTTGGGGTTTAGGGTTTAGGGGTTTTTGATGGGTTTTTTGGTGGCTTTGGGTTTTGGTGCTTAGGGTGTTGCGGGTTCAAAGTTTCTTTGGTTTTGGACTCCTTCTTCCCTCAACCCAATCCGGGGTTTAAGGTTCAAGATTTAGGGTGTGGACAATTGGGGCTTTAAGGGCTTAGGGTGCTTCGGGGTTTGGGGTTCGTATAGGGGTTAACATAAGGGTCCCTATGGTTTAGTCTGTTGCGGTTTGGGATCTTGGGGCTGTTGGGGGTTGAGGTCAGGGGCTCAGGGCCGGTAGTTTAAGGCTTCGGGCTCAGGGTTTCGGATTTAGGGTTCAGGCATACTTTGGTGTAAACATACACGTACATTCTTGTGCACGTGTCTGTGTGTGAAGGGGGTGTATGTTGTCTGGAGACACGGAGGATGCATCCGCATATGCACGTCTGTACGTATGCATGCATGCTTGCATGCTTGCTGGCTTTCGCCATCTTTCGCTTTGCATGGGCACATGTCTTTGCGTGGGTTTCTCCATGCCGCTCAGTAGCTGCTTCGAGCCAGCAGTCCCAGTGAAAGGGACCGAGTTTAGCCCTGCTGCTGCAAAGGTATGCGGGCACAACACGAAATGGGAAAATTGTTTTGAGACGGATTACCATCACCTACGAAGGGGGCAGTTCACTGATTCCGGTTCAGGCCATCCCTCACTGACACGCCTTTTCATCTTGTCCACCGTGTGTCACTCATCCGGTTCTGGCTCCACAGCGGGCAGCACCTGCACTAAACCGCCCAGAAGTATCCTTGATTTTTTCTGGCTCTGGGCGTTCTATCCTTGATGTTTTCGTGGCACTGGACGACCAGCTTGTCTCTGCCATATGACAATTTGGTGCAAGAAAGAATGTCTCCCAGAATCGCAACCTGCTTCTGGTCCTTCTGGAAACACTCATCAGCACCGTTCATGCCCCGGCCTATGTGAACCGCATACAACTTTCGACAACACCGAATTCCGACTCCATAGTCTTCATAGACATTGGTCCAGACATGCCTTCTGATCTTTGCGCATGCACCTACTCTCGGAAACGAGCTCGACTCGACGTTCACCAAAGCAGCGGCTGTTGTTTTACAAATACAAAATATACCTATATGGGCTATAAATACAGATGAACAAAACTGCTGCTAATTAAGCTGATACGTGTGGAAAAGGCCGGCGGAAGTCTCTAGTCTCTCAAATACGGGCTCTTTTTCATACGCGGGCCAAGCAAAGGCGATCCTTCCCCCTTCATGCCTTTCCAACTGCCGTGTAATTTCGGCATCATCTCATGTGACGGGATGCTTCGGTGATTCAATATGCTGTAGTGACTCACCTGATGTCTGTCCAGTTCAGCGTGTGATTTTAACACAGTACAAAGGATAAGAACCTTCAACTCAAACGGCCGGCTGGCCGGGGAGCCCTAGAAGAACTGAACAACATGACGAAGCCCTCAACGCTGCAACCTAAACCCTTGTATGCCTCTTGTCCAGAAACCGAAGACTACCAACCGACGGCATGGGAAGAAGCAGGGTTGATGCCGCTCATGATGCTGAATTCAGGTGATTATGGCGACGGTTCCAGGCTTTGTAATTCTATCGTCGTTGTCATCGACGACGAAGGATAAGTAGCACGAATTACCCCGAAAACCTTACGAAGCCCCACGTAAACCCCAAAGCGGATCCCAGAACACCCTGACAAGCCTGCGGCAAACGGGGCCAGCGCTCCGACGCAGACTGTACTTCGCCTCTTGAGTGCATGGTTGTCAATCGAATAGATGAAAAATAAATATGTCAAAACAAATCACAATATATCAAAGGGGAAAGCCCCATGTAAAATTTATGACAAAATCTTCAATCATAATCTCGCACACAGAACGCACCGCAAGTCTTCATTTTCACTTCAAGGTGGCGGCGATCTCGATCGCTTGGAAAGTTAGATGCTCTCCATGGTGAGAAACATTCTGATCCCCGGGGTCAGTCTATACAGGGATGGGAGGGTGGGTAACCAAAATCCCCAAGGCTGATCTCAAGACGGCGCGGGTAAAACCACATCTGAGACATTCTGAGAAAAGTCAAATCATTCTGACTGAGAAACTGAAATAAAGAAAACAATCATCAAACAAATTTCAACAGTGTTTGTTTTGATTTCAAAGGACCGTGTAGTGAGACTCCACCACATGTGTTCTCCAATCCATCCAAAATCGGCTATGTACAGTTCTCTAGCTAGCACTTCCGACCCGCCACCACCCAGGTCACCGCCTTGGATTCGTAGCTCGAAGCGGAGACTTAGCAACGACCCTCAGCCGACGCAGACACTTTTTAGCGGTGTGGCGAAACTTGTAGTCCGGAGAAATTCTGGACTAGCCAATCTCCAGGATGGGATGAGTAGGTACTTTGAAATTACTCTTTTCTAGAGGCTTTTGGCACAATGGCCACGGACATAGCATGTACGTTTGACCATGTGAATCCCAGTAGCCGGAACACTTGCAATGTTTCCTTACATCTTCAATGTTGTCTTGCCAAGATGCCTTCGATATCTTCTAGAGGGAGAAGGCATAGCGCCAGCATACGCACACACTATGTACCATGAATGCGCACACTGGCAGCACTTCCGACCGTAGCTTCTAAGCGGAGACTTAACAACAATCTCATTGACGTAGACTTCAGCGGTGTGGCGAAAGAAGCTCGTTTGGCCAATCTTGTAAAACTTACTAACCCTTCCGAGGCAAGCAGACTGACGTGACGGTCACTTTTGGCACTCGCAGCAAGAAACGAAACGTCTTCACAAACTTGGCTCCGTAACTTGGCTTCACCGCTTAGCTCCTTGAGCCAAACGGTTTCAGAAGCAGCTTCTTCTTGAAGCTTCCGTTCTCACTGGCAAATGCACTTGTGCATTTGCTTCTTCACGACAACAGCCAAAAGCAGCTTGTTCAAGCTACAGCTCTGTCTTCCAGAAAACAAAACAGCTCTTGCGGAAAGCTATCGTGGTGCACCATGACATGCAAAACGTGTTGTTCCACAGCACTTCCAAGCTAACGGCTTCAAAGCTCAGCAAGCTCTCACTCAAACGTTCTGGTAAAGGCTCAAGCGCTTCAACAAGGAATGGTCTGGCCATTCCGCAGGTGAAGCCGTACTAAAAACGCACTGCTGCTCCAAAACAAAGTTGACGCAGATGTTCATGGACCCATAATACCAAGCAAGCTCTTTCGGCATTGCAGTTACAGACCAAATCATCCCGCAGCAGTAAAACGAGGTGAACGAGGCACCAAATTTCCACACCCCCTTTCGGGATGGTTTGAAGATCATCTCTCCAGCAGCTTGTCAAATACCACTCCTTGAAATCATGATACCAGACCGGCAGCCAGAGATATAGTACTGTAAAAACCAAAGTACCAATACCAATCTCATCCCCACGTCCCAAGCTCACTCAAGAAAGCGAGGACCAGACCAGCACTCCGAGCAAGGAGTCAAACCATGGATATGGGAATTCTTCTGCTGCACATGCTTGCAATCCATAGAATGATACTTGTCACCATACTTGGAGAGGTAAACTGAGGAATCTGCATTCGCGACTGCGCGGCACACACGACATGGTAAGATCTCCCTGATCAGCTCAACTCGGGTGGCATGGCTCTTTGCACAATCTGAAGTCTTGTGGTACACAGCTTCCCCATCATCCAGAAAAATCGCAAAGTGATGACGATTCTTGAAGAACGTTCCATCTGTCTGAGTCTGCACTGGCTCACGTCTCGCCTTAGCTTTTGCATACTTCGGCATAGCAGATGAACCAGGCTCAACAGGCATCTTTCCTCTGTTGGCATAATCATGTTGCGACTTTGCCATCTGGACAGTAACCACCACAGGATGGCGACATGTCAAAGTGATAAGTCCTCCTGCAAGCATACCCAGCAAAAGAAGGGCAACACATAGCACTATAAACTCATCCATGGCTTCAGGCGCGACTAAACGAAACTTCCGTTACTCAGCAGTGCTCTGCAGTGCCAATCACGTCAAAAGACGACCAAGAAAAGAGAAGAGACGAGACTCCGCCACATGATTTAATCATGAAGGCGTCCAGAAAGAATGAGCATCAGATGAGCAGAACGCTCAAAGTTAAAGCATCCTACAGAAAACTAAAAGGAACTAGCAGTCTTGATGATACCGCGTGCCAACTTCTGATTGTAGTACCCTGTGCTCGGCCAATCCGTGTCACCAAAAGCAGCATGCTTCACACAACCACATGTGCCAAACATCATGTGAAGTCTTCGTGCAAACATGGGCTCAGAAGACATGAAGCGTAACTGTTTTCCAACGGGAAGACCTGACCTGCTTCTCACTCCAGTCTGGCAAAGATGAACGTGACACTCATGCATCAGCCGAGCTCTGCACAATGTTTGCTGAGTCCCAAATCTGCTCCAAACGTTGCTGTATCTAGGGAGCTCAAACGAAAGGTATCGCCCGGCTGACTTCATCACACTATCCCACTCTACATCAGCAGGCGAGGGCTCATAATCCTTCGTGAAATTCTTAAGTGGAGAGCCTGCCGAACATGGAGTGGACAAGTGCACATGTACCCAGCAACCATCCTCACGCCAGCGATGCACAATAGCACTAGCCTGCTTGTACACATGAAGCTTTTGCATATTCTGGATCACACCTGCATACGGGATGCCCTGATGCGAACACTCCTGGGAAAGCGCCGACTTCGCTGAGCAGCACACTTCAAGCATAGCAATACGGGAGTCATGGGACATCATAATCCTGCCACGCTGCACTGACAGCTCAAACAACTTCTCCACAGGACTATCCTTCACAGTCACAAAGCCCAAGCGACCCCGACGCAGGTTAAGCAAAGCCGTGTTCACGTTCTTGGTGAACAAGTCCGCTGGATTCTGCGATCCCGGAATCCACTCAAGGCGAACCTGACCGGAGTTCATCTTGTGGCGCCTCCACTCCACACGAATCTCGATGTGGCGTGACCTCCTCGGCAGATCCTGACCCTTGAGAAGGTCGATGGCAGACTGGCTATCAGTCAGCAAGTCTGTCACGATACGAGAATTCTCTGGATCCTCAATTCCATCTTCAGACTGCTCAAAGACATGAGCCTGGCTAGTGATCTCAACTGGAAAACCCTCGAGACTCGACAAAACACGCTCAATCAGCCAAATGAGTCCGATACTCTCTTGGCACATATGTTGTAAGGCATGCAGTTCGGCCTCGCACGACGAAAGCGAGACTACGCCTTGCACTTTAGCCACAGCACGGACCAGGCACCCAGCCTAGCACATCGCTCCCCCTGAGACCCCCTTTCGACCAAGACAACGGTATGGTGCGTGAGAAGCATCTGCAAAGACATGGAGACGCGTCTGCTGATCTTCAAGGCAAGGCAGAAACTGAGAGTTGAGCTCAGGCGACGGAAGCTGGAGCACCAAATCACGATCCTCAAACAGGAACCTCACTAGAGATCGCAAACCATTCTCGGTTGCCTGGCTAGGCGCAGCCTGTTGGGTGCTCAAAAGGCCAACTGCAAACTTGATGTCTTGTCTTGTTTGAGCAAGCCACAGAATCTTACCTAAGGCACGACGGAATCTCGAATATGCTTCGGGACTGAAAGGTTTACTTCCCGCATGCTCTTCAAGCAACACCGCGATATTGGGGAAAGCACTCGAGCCCTTTTTGATCTGATAGGCCTCCCAACATGGAACGCACAAACACCTCAACTGCCTTTGATCCTGGCCATCGCCTGATCGTGCGACCGATGAAGGTAATGGAACCCCCACCGTTAATGTCTTGATGGATTCTGCCAGTGATTTTCACAGGAACACGTTGCTGGATTGCAGCGATGATCCTTCTTTCAACCGACGCGCTGTTGGAGATAATCAACACATGGTCCACATAGCATAGCACCATGGCTTTTCCTCCGGGGCAGTCTGTGTCTGTGTCTGGTTCAAGGCATCCTGAAAATAGGCACGGTTCCCTATCGTCGCTTAGCAATCCCAGCGGCTTTATCAATTCGGACAACAGATGTAGCCACGCTTGGCTGGCATCATGAAGGCCGTTCAAAGCCGCGTACAATAGGAAGTAGGATGGTGACCCATCCAAGAGGCTGACCGAAAGGGGCATTTTCAGGACTTTTGGGACCTTTGAAGTGATAGGACTATGCATGAAAGCATGGCTCACGTCCAACCCACAGCCCGCAAGGTTATGCACTGCCATCATCACCAAAAGAAGCATGAATGCATCGTGGCTTGGAGTAGGGCTGCTAAAGCCAGCCTTTCTAGCTGACCCATGTGCCAAATCTTTTGCCACAATACGGCTTCTCACCTTGGACTCAGTCTTGCGCGCACAGACCCAACGAGCAGGGATCAACCGCATCTTTGGATGTTGTTCTTTGATACGCTGCACCTCAGCATGACTAATGATTTTCCCAGTTTTGCACTTTTCCAGATTAGCAATTTCTTCACACATCCCGGCAAACACTTGATCACCCGGCAACTCTTCAAAGGTGGAATCATCTACACCACCCTGCGGTTTCCACACAAGCACATCCGATCCACCAAGCTTCTTGCGTTCCGAACCCCCTTTCACGCTGTGCCCATCAGAAAACTTGATACTACAAATGGTCTCATCATGAATCTCCGGTCTGGTAACATGCTCACTCATGCAAACACCAGAGGACACATCTAAGCACCAAAACAAGTTCTCCAACATGCGGGGCCGTGGCGGTCCTGCTTGTTCAATCTCCTGTTCAAGATCAACCAACTCGACCTCAGCGGATCTCTTCAACCCTTGTGTGCCAACAGGTGGTGTTGGAGGTGCTGAGGCACTAGACTGAGCACGCATAGCAGGCGAAGACGGTTCTGATGAACCAGCAAATGGCCTCTTCAGAAGGCTCTGCCGTGGCACATCATGTGAACCACCTGCACCTGTTGAAGCTTCCCCAGCGCGGGGATCCCTTGTCGCAACACCTGCAGCATCATCCAGAGTACTCCGGGCAGCCTGTGAAGCCTGTGGTACGGGCAGTCCCACTGAGGGTGGAACTCCAGAATGAGCAGGTTGCTCAACGTCAATCCGAGGAGCCCCAACTGGCATCGAGACAGCAGAAGCACGAGCAGGAGGCAACGCAAGTTCCTCTGCCTGCGGATGGATGTCCGAAGGAAAAAATGAAGGGCCATCTGGCCGTATCCCAGCACCTTCAGGACACTTCAGGAGCCAGCGTATCACGCAGCCAGGAAGCATACCTCCTGTTGCATGCAGCACTATGTGCACGTCCAGCCCTACGGCCAGCACTGATATTGTCGCATGCTGTGCACCCCGCCGTTGAACCATGATCACGAACCCAAGATGCGGGGGGTCCTGATGCCGGAGGCTGCACGGAAACCGGAGGCTCCAAAGACTCCCGTGGCTCAACAGGCAACTCCTGCCGAGGACCCGCTCCAAGCGGCTTCAACAGACCTTCAGCGAGCTCCAAGCGCCACGAAAGAGGCACACAAATCTTCACCGAAGTCGCGTTGAAAAGTTTTAGTTCCATGCTAGAATTGACCCGAATCATGCCACAAACTCTAACAGCCTGAGAGCACAGCACTGGGCGCAAGAAGGCCGCTTCCACAAATCTGGACATGTTGGGCGACAAGTCCCGCACAGATTGAGGCAATTCTGCTAGCACAGTTGACCCGAAAAGGGTGAAAGGCCACCGCTGAGTGGGCCTCCCAACAGCAACGTCGCACGGCGCTAAATCACTACCATGCGCCCGGGAAAAACGATTGAAACTCGCACACAGATAAAGTAAGGCTGCAGAAAAGGCATCAGGTGCAAAAGACAAATCGAGGTTTTCTTGATTCAAGTCTGATCTCAACGTCTGAAGTCCCTCTCTTAACTTTCTCACCGCCCTCTCAGCTGATCCATTGGCTTCATGATCCTGAGGGGCTGCCTTCCTAACCTGGAATGAAAACTCAGCCGACGCTCCAGCGATAAGGTCCGAAACAGCCTCTTCTGCGTCGGTCACAAGCACAATGGATGTGCTTCCGGATTCCAATCCGAACTCTCGCAACCATTTTACAATCTGCGTGCGCGTCTGCACCACGTCACTCCGCGTAACTACCGCTCCAATCATGGATGTCATGCGTTCAGTCAAAACAAGAACTCTAATCTTGTCTGATCTGACAGTTCTCTGACTCTCTCCAGTCGCAGACAAGAAGAAAAAGTCAGCATACACCTCACTCCCCAAACGTCCATTCACTCTGCGACGATGTTGATCACAGACCTCGCCATCTGACAATGACGACAAGCAGGGTGATACGGCATATGGCCTTGCATCCTGTGCTTCGCGAGCTCAGCTTCTGTTGCTTTAGAAGTCAAGGGTGCAACCAGTGATAAACTTTGCACTCCTTCAGGCAAAGTCACAACTTCACACACCACAGCGGCGCCCTTCACGGGCCGAAGTTTCAACCACGGATTTGCAAATAAAGTTACTTCTTTAGCTACTCCTGACGACCTCCACAGACTAACACCATTCTCATCCTGCAGAAACGACCAACACCTTGTGGCAAAACGAAGCGGTCGACAAGATGTTGTGTTTGGCATTTGCTTCGGCTTGGCCTTGGTGGCTTTCTTCTGGAGATCAACACCAAAACATGCAGCACACTCAGCACCATCACTAGCAGAGTGTAAGCAACCACCATTCTTACCCTCAACATCAGCCAAGCCATGCACAAACAAAGTGCCCATGCTCTTATGGCCATGCACACGCTACTGCTACTGCTTCTGCTACTGCTACTACCATTGCTGCTACGGCTGCGGTTGCTACGCTGCACGGCTGCTACCTGCTACTGCTGCTGCCACTACCACCACATTCTGGCAGCTTCAAAACTTCAATAATAGAGAAAGAGGCCTATGGGCGAATTATGGGCAAGCCGAAACCACATCCTCGATTTCGACCTCCGAGATTTTACGAGGGGTGTCCTTTCAGGCCGAAAAGCGCGACAAAAGTCCTTGAACTCTCTCTAGGGAGGGTAGTCCCA